GCCCTGCAGCTAAAGAGTCTTTGACCTTCAGCTGAAGAGTCTTTGACCTTTTTCCCCCCTGGGGGGTGGGGTGGGGGTGGGGGTGAAGCAGCTTCATGGCTAATCATGTTTGTGGGAGTAAAAGGAAGTAGAAAAACTGGCGGAGCTACTGATGTGCAGGTCCATGTCTGAGCCGTCGTCTGCAGCTCTGCTCTTGCCCTTAGTCTAAATGTTGGGGTAAATCTTTGTCAGCACCTGCTAAATATTTCACTGCTCCAGCATTGTGTGTACCCCCCCCCCCCCCACACCCCCCTGTCAAGAGCAGGCGCTCAGGTTACAGCTGAGTCTGGGCCAACGTGGAGCAGGACAATAGTCACTTCATCACAGCCTCCTCAATAATGGAGGAGACGGGAGGTCCAGAGGTTGTGATGTCATCGTCACCTCACGCCGTGTCAGAAAAACAACAACATGCTTCTCTGATCAGAGTACTACGTTAGGTACAGGATTTACTGCATGTAGTACTACCAAAATCCTTTTAGTCCATGAAATTAGAATTCATAATCCAACAAATTGGATCCACAGGAATTCCAGGTCATTTTTAAATAAGAACATTTGAACTCACTGTGTTGACCTCACAGCAGCAGCAGCAGCTGCTGCTGCTGTTGGACTGAGTTTGAGACACAGGTTCAGAGACTGACAGTGAGAAGAGTAAAGGTCAAAACCAGGTCTGACCTGGGAGCAGATATGTTTACTGAGCTCAACTATTAATACTACCTCTGACCACCAGGCTTTAACTCAGAGGAGCACACACACACACACACACACACTACCTCCCCCCCCCCTCCACATCAACGTGGGTTCAATGCGTTTCCATTTTCCGTCACTCGTCCTCCTCACATTTCTTTCTCTTCGTGCCGTCTGTTTTATCAACTCCAGTCACGGTGGACGGACAGATGATGACTCGGGGGAGCGCGCTCTTTTTTAAGGTCCCTTTTCTTAGTCAGCACTAATTACACTCTTCTCTTACACAACACGGCCCCGGAGCTGTTTACTGAGGCTGAAACCAACGTGAGTGGTCTGTACATCCACAGCAGTGAAGAGGTGACTCAGTTGGATTTAAACGGCCTCTGCAGTGAAGACACAGTGACAGCAGCGCAGCGACATTTCACTGCAGTAACAGCAGCACAGTCTGGATTCACTGGAAGAAAAAAAAAGTTTCTTTCCACGACAACAATCTAAATCCAACTAAACAAATGAAGGTGAATCCACTCAATGCCTTTAGTTTTTCAACTGCTCTGGCTCTGACGGGAACAGCTCCCCCTCCTGTAACGCCTCAGCAGCTTCACATATATTCACCCCCCCACCCCCCCAGGAGAAACTGCTTTACATAATCATAAGCCATTTTGTGTGCACCATTAACTCAGCCCTGACTGAAGGCATTGAATCTGTCTTGGGTTGTCATGTGACTCCACCTGTCCAGTCAGGCGGACCGGGACGGAGTGGTGAGCTCAGCAGAGACCGACTCTGAAGACAGACCTTCACCGTCATTTAGCCTTGTGAAAAAAGTGTCTTCAAAGTCTTCAAAGTGAAACTGAGACGTGGCCCGTGGATGTAGACGGTCGTGACTGAACCTGAAGGCTGATGGAAACACTGGACTGGATTCAAATGAGGCAGAACTGGATTCCATCACTTAGACTCAGACCCCCCCCCCCCCCCCCCNGATGTTGGCTCTGGACCGTTCTGTGTCAAACAGTCGTACTCAGACAGACCTCAGACCTCAGGTTGACAGAGATGATGGACATCTGTTCATTCATTACACAGTACACAGTACATAGTACATAGTACACAGTACACACCATTCCAGTGGACGTCCATGTTCCAGTGGACGTTCTCCTGGACGGCGGGCTTCCCAAGGTCGGGAGAGAGTTGTGTGGGGGAGGAGACCCCCCCGCGCCCGGGGGCGCCCCACCGTTCCAGTGGACGTCCATGTTCCAGTGGACGTTCTGCTGAAGCGCATCTTTCCAGATTAATTTTTCATGTGAAACACTGGCCACGAGAGCTTGATCTGACAGATGGGAAAGTTACTGATCACAGTCTGTTACTGCACATCACCGAGGCTGACGGTCCTGGTGCAGCCACTGGTGCAGCCACTGGTGCACAGCACATTTATTATAATAACGACCGGCTCAGAGAACCTCATCTTTTTCCTCCTGACGCTGTAAACCCTGAACGAGTTGCTATTTTGAATAATTTACTACCAAAATAGATTTACTCTTTTCACTGATGTGTAGACCCTCAGTCCAGATATTAACTCTGGAGTGAGGAGAGAACTGCAGCTGAGTGAAGACCAGAGCAGAGCAGAGCAGAGCAGGAACCAGGGTTAGATACAAACACTGGAGGGATTTTACACAGTGTTAAAGTTGGTTTTCTGTTCAGCAGAGCAGTGAGTGACAGAACCAGAACCTCCTGAACCAGAACCTCCTGAACCAGAACCTCCTGAACCAGAACCTCCTTCTGTTTCCACTGTAAACAACACCTTCTCTAAACAACGACGACGTGAAGCTGAGCAGAAACAATGACTATTATTCCACTGCACTTTTTGGAAAAAAGAACAAATCAATAGTCATTAATATTGACATGAAATTGGAAATGTATCTCAACTAAAAATGAAGTCAAATCTCTACAGATTAGGATTATCTCATAAATAACTGAGACATATTCTCACACAATCTTTTATATTTAAGGTAACAGCCTCCTCTTTCTTGGTTTTCTAAAGGTCAAAGGCCAACACAAACCCACCTACCTATATTTCATGCCAGTCTTCATGCTCTGCTCACTGGACGAGGGCACGCTCTGAACCGAGAGCTGCCCCAGACTGCGAGCCACCATCGCCACCGCTCTGAACTTGCTGCGAGTGCCAGTGTTAGGACTGTTGGCGTTCTGACGGTTCAGGCGGTCCTCCGTGTTACGGCTGACCCCGCCACGGTGGTCTGTGCACACCAACGACACCTGCATGATGAATTCTTGACCGTGGATATTCAAAGAGCACAGATCCAGCCTCAAAGTGTTTGTCTGAATCTCTGGTCGGCTCGATGTGTTTGATTTCAATTTCACCAGCGGCTGCTGAAAAACAAATCCTCAACAAGGAAGTCCAAATCCACGCAGTGCTGCATTAAAACATCCGTCCACTGGTG